GCTGTTGCAAAATGTGCACGCGCATGTGTATTTGTGTTTCTCTTTCACACACACACACACACACACACACACACACACACACACACACACACAGTGCGCCCGCATGTGCGGTTCATTGGTGAGGGTGAGCACTTCGCTTACTGCACCAGGCGTACCTGCTCATTCTTGACGTCCTTGCTGGCACCGGCATGAACCAGGGCAATGACCGCAAACATGTTGTTGGCAGCGACAGCATAGTGCAGCGCTGTAAAAAACACAAGCACATATGTGCGTGAGAAAAAAGTGTTCAGTTCAATTCAAAACACAGCCATGAGACTGCACACACAAACACACACACACAATGTGCCCACACGCTCGCGCATACACACGAACGCTCATGTGCACAAGTACAAGCCGACCACAAAGAAGCCAATGCGTGCATGCTCATATGCGAACGGACGTGCATGTGTTTGAGTTCATGTATGCACATGTGTACATGCGCACATGTATGTGTATGTGTGTGTGTGTGTGCACCTGTGTTGCCGGCAGAGTCGCGGAGATTTAGAGACGCGTCGAGCGCCATCAGGCAGCGGATCAGATCAGAGCTGCAACGCCAGGTGTGTGAGTGTTGTTTGAGTTGAGTTGGTTGGAATCCGGGAAGCATTGAAACATTTGCGTGGACGAATGCAATGTGTTGTTGTGGTTGGCGATTACAGTCATGCACAGAGCACCCAGCAGCAATAACGTGCACAGCGGTGAGTGGTATAGCACGTACGAGAAGGCCTTTGTCGCCGCCCAGATGAGGGGCGTGCGGCCGTTGTTGTCTTTTGCATTGACATCCTGCGCACAACACAGCACCATTGGTGTGAGCAGTGTGTGTGTGTGTGACGTGCGTTTGTGGGTGCGCGTACGTTCGTGCGTGCGCGTACGTTCGTGTGCATGTCTATGTGGGTGTGCATGCATGCGTTCGTGTGTATGCATTCACGTGCGAGTTGCATCATACACCATGACTGACCGCTCCCCGCGCGACAAGGTACGCGGCAATGTTCATGAAGCCAAACTGTGAGGCCACGTGAAGCGGGTTGTACCCTGTCATGCACATGCATGGTGATCCGTGCATGAGTAGCAATAATGCGGGGAGGGCGTGAGAGTTGGTTGGGTTGGTCGTCCAAGAGCACGGGCACGAAAGAGGAGGTTGGCATGAGGTACATGCACTCCGTTCTCCCAATCTCTCTCATTCTCTCACCAATTCTCTCACGCTCTCGTTCACACATTCACACACACACACACTCTCACATGCGGATGTACAGACGCGCACATAAACACGCCTACACATGCAACAAACCCCCCCACACCTTGCGCGTCTTTGAAGGCGGTGTTAGCGCCGCCCTTGACAAGCAGCACAACGACGCGCATGTGGCCTTGCCTGCAGCCAATACGGGGCGCCACGACCACACAGTTTGGTGCCCATAACATGAGCGTGCGTGTGTGTATGTGTGTGCGTGTGTGTGCGGGCGTGCGTGTGCGTGCGTGTGCATGTGTGCGTCTGGAATTGTGTATGCCTGTGTGTGTATGTGTGTGTGGAGTTGAGTGCACATGGGAGACTCCGCCTCTTGTCTGCCATCATCGCACCTGATTGCCCAGTGCAGTGGAGTGGCTTGCAACTCCCCGCCAACTGGATCCACATTGGCACCTTCATCCAACAAATACCTGATTTGCGTACAGTGTGTGTGTGTGTGAGGGAGAGTGGGACATCGCGTGTATACACGCGTGTGGATGGTGGACGATGCTCTTCATTCACTCACGGACTGCGTCACAATTGCACCTGCGGCTAGACAAACAGATGACACAGACAAGCACATAAAACGGTCGATCGCTCTCATGCACACACGTTTCGTGTACGCACTGGATGCATTCGAGGCGGTTGTTGATGGCACACCAGTGGAGGCAGGTGATGCCTTCCTCATCTGGGGTGTCGACGTGGAAGCCGCCTTCCACGGCTTGCTTGAGAGGCTGCAGCATGCCTCGTTGTGACAGCTGGAACGGCGTGAGCTTGGCGACAGGCTGTGGCTGCACAGCACGAGCCATGGGTCCTCTAGGCTGCGCCTACTCGAAACCGACATGGATCAACAAGGGGATTGATGGATATAACATGTGTGGATGTGCACACATGTGCACACGTGTGTGTACGTGTGTGTATACATGTATGTGTACGTGTGCGTGTGCGTGTGTGTGTGTGTGTACATGTATGTATGTGAGAGGGAAGGGGGCGGGAACAAGTATGGAACACCATCATGGGTGCAACAACCAGTGGCCCGTGCACAGCGACACCAGAGACCGAGGCAAGATCGTGGTGTTGCATACAGTGGAGGAGTGCAAGAAGGAAAGAACAAGGAGAACAAGAAGAGGAGACGGACGGTGACAGGTGTGCGCGTGTATGCACTGGCATGACCAGATACACAGACATAGTGACAGAAGGACAAAACAAGAGCTGCGCGTATGTTCCCCTCCCCCGAGACACATACACACACACACACACATACACACACGCTGGAATCAAGACACATGACAACATATGTGCGGTGTGTGTGTGTGTGTGTCACGTACCTGGAGGGTTTCAGGGGTGCTCATGTTTGCCCCAACACCGGTAGCACTGCTCCCAGACAGCTCCATCGTGGCTCCTGCAGCTCGTGCGTGTGTGTGTTTGGTGGGGCGTGTTGTTGTCGCACACACAACTGTGTCAAAATAAAACCTCACAACTCAAACCCATGCGCACGATTCCATGCACATTTATGGAACCGTGGTGCTTGTGTGGTTTTGTGTGTCGTGTCGCTGTTTGGGCACGACACTGATTGCCCCATGCATGGACATCTATGACTGACTGATTGACACTGCTTTATTGTCACTGTTGATGCACAATGGAGGCAGGCAGGGAGGTGTTGCTGTTTGCTTGCTCTGTTGCTTGCTGTTTTGCTTGCTTGTTGGCTTGTGTGTTTGTCTGTTTGGTTGTTGCCAGCAAGTCACTTTCACTTTCACAACACACATCAACAACACATCAAAACCACTTCACCATTCATTTAGCTTGCATTTTCTTGCTCTTTGTCACATCAAGCAAGTCTTCACCCTCACCTTCACCATGCTGGTTCGGTCGTGGTTCTCCTTTGCGATCGCGATTGTGGTGGTGGCCGCCGCCATCAACCTCAACAATGCCATTGGTGTAAAGGCCGAAGGAGGACAGACGGATGAACAACTGTGCGAGGCATTCACTCGTGACCGCTATGACGCCCTTGTGGATGCCATTAGCAGTGGCCCCGACGCCATTCGCACCTTGGTGCGCGACACTTTCAGCCCCGACGCGTCTGGGGAATTCCCATCCTTCAACGTTCTGCATGGCGTGGATGAAGTGCTTGAGTTTTTCATCAGCATTCTCCCACCCCCAGGCTGTGGCCACTTTGAGGCCTATGACATCAACCACGTCACGGCAGCCAACAACAGCTTCCTCATCAAGGACAAGGCCGATCTGCGCATTGCCTGCTCCTTCAGCAACACCGTCACGATTGGTTACTACTCAACCAAGAACCCAACAAAGCCGTGCCATTTCACGTTGGCAGAGGACGCCCACATCAAGCTGAACCCGCACACGAAGAAGATCGACCACTTCCTTTACACCTGCGATACCGCTGCTCTCATGGCTAACACGCAGCGCTGTCTTGCTGAGTGCGCCTCCGGCAGTGGCGAAGGCCACACCGATCTCTGAGCTGCTGCAGCAGCACCAAGAAGGAAGGACGCACCCACCTGGAACCAATGTAAAGGAAGAAACCCCCTGCCAGAGGAGGAGCACTACGCGACGTTAGTCTGATCCACAGACCTTGCTGCTTTTGCTCCCGCTCCCTTGCCTCCTTGTTCTGCTCCTGTGATCGCATTCGTGCTGCCTTTTGTGTCCTTTTTTCTCTCATTCCACAAGCCCCACAAGCACGCTTCTTCACTGCCTGACTGCCTTTGTGTGTTCCCCCGTGACACTCTGTGCTCTGTACTTCTGTACTTCTGTACGCGTGGCTCGCTGAGTCGCTGTTCTCTGTCTGTTCTTGTGTTCTTGTGTTCTTGTGTTCTTGTGGTCTTCTGCCATTGCGCTCATGCGCTCGGTTGTTACGCAGCGTTCCGTTGTACCATCCTGTTCGCCCACTTCTTCACTCCGCCCTGCTGAGGAGCACCATGGCCCGTTATCGTCCTCCTCTCCTGCCTGCAAGCAAAAAGAACCACAACAAACAAAAGAACCACAACAAGGCGCTTGGCCGACACCACAAAGTGCAGTGCATAGCTGGTGGATAGCACGGTTGGCAACGCTTTTGGCTGCGGCCTTGTGCGAAACAAACACACACACACCCTTATCGACGCGCCCACCAAACAACAAAACACACACAAAATTGCACGGTGAATGAATGAACCAAGCAAGCAAGCAAGCAAGGCAAGCAAGGCGGACTGCACGTCAACCAACCCCAGAATCACTCTCGCTGTTCACCCATCCATCCATCCATCCATCCATCCATCGCTCCGCTTTACCCACCTGCGCCAGCCGGTCCACGCCAGCAACGCGACACGGGATGTCCACAGCACAGATCTCCAAAACGGAGATGGTACCCCTGCAGCGTGCAGGGAGCGTGAAGAAGCGGCGTGCATCTCAAGGACTGCTTCTGCACCATGCAACAAGTGCGCATTGCTCCACCATGTCACACACAGGATTGCTCCGTTGTCACTGGCACGCGTGCTGCGTGATGCGTGCTGCGTGATGCGTGCTGCGTGATGCGTGCACTGACACGTCAAGCTGTCATGAGGGAAGCAGGGAAAGGGGAACACACACACGCACACGCGCACACACACACACACACACCCTGCATTTCAGCACCACAGCAGCACCGCAACTCGCACTCACCATGCCACGTCTCACCATGCCACGTCTCACGTTGTCGTTTGTGTGGTTATGCGGGGTTTTTAGGCTCTCCACAGACTGCGCGGCGCATGTCACGCACATCCATCTCGTTTCCATCCATCCTCAACTCGTCATCACTGCAGTCCTTGGACGCAAGCTCCACATCCATTGCTTCCAGCGCAAGCGAAGGCGCCTCGCCCAGGCGCGCCCCTGAACATCACACAGATTTTGACGCCAGGTATTCACTGCCAAGCCTCCTTCTCTCTGCATGCGACACACACACACACATGCATCGGACCGTCTCCTTTGCATTCCGTCGCCTCCTTCCTCTTGTGCCTGCCCCCCTCGCTCTGCCCCCTCGAGCTGACTGGCAGCTCACCACCATCAACCATCAACCATCAACCACCACCACGACTGCGTGTGCTCGTTGCAGGGTTGATCCGGATACCAATCCACTGGCATACAACCCGTTGCTTGATCCACACGTGCAGCGCCACTTGCGCCGCCCCGGCGTCAAGAAGACGCTCAAGCGCACCGGTACCATCACCGACGACGGCCAGCTCCTTGCCACAGCCAACGAGGTCCGTCCGGCCAAACGCTTTTTGCAGTCTTGTGAGGGACACGCCCACCTCCTGCCTCGAACGCGCTCATACACTCACCTTGCCAGCATTGTTTTTGGCGTTGTGCTGCTGGCTGGCATGTTCTGCGTCCTCACATTGTGACTCACGCATATTCCTCATGGCTGCTTCGACGACCCCGCACACACACACACATACACACACATACAGCGTGCGTTGAAGACGTTTCACACAGAGCTGACACGTGGACAGAAGAATGACGCTTACGAGCAGCGTGTGGCCCGCATGAAGAAACAGCATGTGCGTTGTGTGAATTGCGTGCATGATTGTGTTACGCGCTCCAGCCTCCATGCTCCTTGAACGCTGCCGCGTGCCACCCTCTCACTCAAGTGACACATACACACACACCACCACCACCACCACCACCACCACCACCACCACCACCACCACCACCACCACCAGGAGTCGCTGCAACGGGAGCGGGAGGCGGCCCTGCGTCGTGTCAAGACGCGGCGCAAGAAGGAAAAGCAGGCCCGCGATAACTACATCAAGCGCGTGCGTATCCCACACGGCTGCTGCTGTTTCTGGTGGCGGTGGTGGCGGTCATGTTTGCCTGTGTGCGTACAAGCCAACAAGGATTGTGTTGTTTGTATCATCGCGTGCGCTTGCTGCGATGCAAATTCACCCATGGGCACACAAACACACATGCATACATACATTCAGCTGTCACGTAACAGGAAGAGCGTGGTGGACTACGCGCTGACGGAGCGTGAGCGCATCTTCCTTGAGGAGCAGAAGGAGAAAGTGGATATTAGGTCCGGTGACGACACATCTTTGCCGCTTGTGAACGACCTGTCGAGTCACACAGGCATTTACATACAGACACACGCAGACAACAGACACAGACACAGGTGCACACAGACAGACACGCAAATACAGACACACATGTCAAGGCTCACTCGTTGTCCCCTTTGTGCGCCATCAGGAAACAAGAGGATGAGCTGCGGCACCGCGAGCTCATGGCGAGAAAAACACTGCAGGACGCAGTCAAGGACAAGCGCGTCAAGTACGTTGAAAGCAGCGCGTGTGTTATCGGCACACGGTTATGCCTGCTGTTGCCCGCCACTTGAAATGTCGTGTCATTGTTCTCGACATCTCACCACACACAAACAAACACACATACAAACACACACACACACATACACGCACACACGCACACACGCACACACGCACACACACACACACACACACACACACACAAACACACAAAAACACACAACAGGGAGGACAGCGCTGCGCGGCAGGAGGCGGTTGAGCACGCGCACCGGGCGGCGGAGCAGCAGCTGCAGCGGGTGCGGCTGGACATTGAGGAGCGAAAGAGGCGACAGGATGATTTGCGCAGGCAGATTGAGGAGGAGAAGAGGCGCAAGCAGCAGCACGCCATGGAGGAGGCAAAGAAGGATCGCATGGTCCTCGAACACGCCATCCAAGGTGTGGTGTGTGTGGGGGGGGGGGGAGGTGTGCGGTGTGAGTTGTTGCTGGTGCTGGTGCTGCATCCCTGCGCCGTTGTTGCGCTCACATATTATGCTTGTGGGTGTATTGATGCGTGTGCGTCGTGTGCGTTTGCAGAGCAACAGGAAGAGCAGGAAGAGCTGAATAAACAACGCGCTGCCCGTCGGCAGGAAGAGGTGAGCCCGTACTCGAGTTTGATTGTGTGCACCCGTGCGAACAGGTGCAAACAGGTGCAAACAGGTGCAAACACACATATACACACACTCTCTCTTCAACAATGACGCCCAACCCCTGCGCTCACGCACACACACACACACACACACACAGCTTGAGAAGCAGAAAGCGGCTGCGGCGGCGCGGGAGCGGGAGATGGAGGAGCTGCGCCGGCGCCAGGCAGAGTTTGAACGCCAGCAGGTGATGGTGCCCCTCGCACTGTGCTGGGAGTGGTGGGGGTTGTAGCTGTGATGGTGGACCTGTGGTGGAGGTTTGTGGTGGTTTGTGGTAGTTTGTGGTTGCGATGATGGTATGTGGTGAGCAACCTTGTCAACCATGTCATGGTGTTGCGCCACAATGAGGTTTTTGGGGTGCCAACAGCGCGTATGTGCTCACATATTTTGGTTTATGCGTCTTGCCAACCTTGTCGCCGTGTGTTGCTTTGACTTGTACCTCGTGCCAACAGCGGGTGCAAGCGCGCAGGCTTGAAGTTGAGGCCGAGCAGGAACGAAAGGCGCGCGAACTGGTGGGTTCCTTGCGTACCTTGCATGCACGCTTGTAGGCAGCTGAATGCATTCTGCGCGTCTTGTATCACCCACCCAGTGCCTTAACGCAGCTCACGAAAGCAATGTCGTATGCGTGTGCGTGGGTGTGCGCGTGCTTGCCGTGTGTGTTGTTGTTTGACGCATCAGGCTGAGAAAGAGGCGCGGCGAAAGGCGCGAGAGGAACACGAGCGCCAACAAGAGGAGAAGCGCCGTCGCTTCAAGGAAATGGTGCGTGCAGGCAAACTGCTCAACAGCTTTGTTCAGCACATGCAACCATGTGCGAACTTTCGCGAGCAATCACACTGTGGATGAAGGACACGCAGCACATAGACGCAGACACACAAACACGCAGACACACAAACACGCAGACACACAAATACGCACACATACATACACGTACACGCACATACATACACACACCTTCCTCTGCTGCTTCCTCACGCTTGTTCCCCCCCCCCAAACACAGGCTGAGCGAGAGCGGGCGGAGCAGCGGCGGATTCGGCAGGAGCGGGAGGAGGCCGCACGCCGCGAGGTCCACGAGAAGCGCAAACGCGCAGCGGTATGTGTACACAGACAGGGTGGGGGAGGGGAGAGAGAGTGTGTGTGTATTGTGTGAGTGAGGGAGAGAGAGTGTGTATGTGTGTATTGTGTGAGTGCTTGTTTGCTTGCACGCACATGTGTTGGGGTGGTGAACAATGTATGTGGTCGAAAGAAGTGCGCTTGCTTGAGCTGACATGTACATGCGGTGTTCATGTATTGTAGGAAGAAAAGGCGCGACGCGAGGAAAAGCGCAAGCAACTACAGAAGCAGCGCAGGGAACAACTTCAGGTGCGCAGCAGTGCAGTTTACATGGTCATGTCGCTGTGTGCGTGTACGTGCGCGCTATGTGTGCCACCTGAGCTATCACATTTATTCCTCACACACACACACACACACACACACACACACACACACACACACACACACACACACACACACACACACACACACACACACACGAACAAACGTGTGCAGGAGGAGTTGCGAAAAGAGCAGGAGGTGCTTGAGGAGATGAAGCGGGAGCAGGAGCGCGCACTCATGGACCAGCTGGAAAGGCTGCGCATGATCGAGGTCCGATACCGTGTTGCGCTTCGATGTCGTGCTGTGCCTTAGTGTCGTCTCGTCTTGCCTTGTGCACGCTGTCGTGTTGCCATGATCATTATCACGAATGCGCCTGTACACACCGACACCTGACTCTGAACTCGCTCGCACACCAACATACACACACACACACATCTGACTCTGAACTCGCTCGCACACCAACACGCTCACATGAAACGCGCATACACGACAATGTACACATTTTCGCAGGAGGAGGAGGAGCGAGCGCGCAAGCGGGCCGAGGCGCAGGCGCAGCGCGTGGCGCGGGAACGAGAGGAACGCGAACGCAAGGAGAGAGAGCGGGCAGAGCGTGCTGCCGCTGCACTGGCCAAGGTGCGCATGTGTTGTTTGTTGGTTGTGGCTACCGTGATGTTGTTTTCGCTCTGCTCTGCTTGCTTGATTTGCTCCCCCCACAGAGCAACCACCGTCGCAAGACCGTCCACCAATCCTACACACACACACATACACACACACACACACACACACACACACACACACACACACACACACACACACACACACACACACACACACAAACTCACTCCGTGGCGTGTCACGGCTGCACACAGCGGGCGGAGATGAAGAAGAAGAAACAGGAGGAGGAGCGCAAGGCGGCGCTGGAGCGGCAAAAGGCCGAGACGGAACGAAGAATCAGATACATCCAGAAATACGGCCCGTGACCACCGCACTGACCGCTGATTACGCTCCACACTCCACACTCCACACGCTCCATAGCCACACACGCACACGGTGCATGCGCATCACTGTGCCGCGTCCGCACGTTGCCGGTTGGAGCTGTCTCCCTCTCTTCTTGGATCGTACATAAGCTCGCTCGCGTGTGCCTTTTGTGTGCAGGAGGCACCCCCCCCCACCCCCAATGCCTCTTCTCGTTCTCGTGAATGCCCTTTGTGTGGGGTTGGTTGTTCTTTCGTTGCCATTGGTTGAGTGGTTTGTTTTGTTTTGAAGCACCCCTGCTTTGTGTTCTTTCAAAAGTGTCTCGATTGGTGATGTTTGTGCACTTTCTTCGCTTGCACACAGCTCTGCCTTGTTACATGGCTGCAGCCGCCTGTTTTCTCTTGCCTCGCACATGTTGCGTTTCCTTGGCCATCATGCTTGTGCTCTGTATGTGTGCATGTATATGTGTATGTGCATATGCGTGTGTTGGCTTGTGCAACATCGACGCTGCGCTTGTTCCTGGTGCTCTTGAGTTATTATTCCTTGTGTGATAGACTGTTGCCTGTCTTTGTGCGTGTGTGTATGTGTGTTGTTTTGTGTGCGATGTGTGTGCGTGTAATTTGTGTGCATAGTGCCGCTCACGCACACCTGCGTACGTGTCCATGTTGTTACGTGGCACGACATGCGTGCCGTGGTGTGATTCTGATGCTTGACAACTAAGCCAATCGTGTGGTGCTTTCACGACCATCAACGACAAACAGAAGGATGACAACGCAGCAAACACACGCACACACGCACACAGGGTTGCAGATGGTTGTTGAAATTACCTGACAACTTTCGGCATTACACCGTTTTCCTGTTTGCAAGCAAACAAGGCGAAGAAGGTGTGCGTTCAGAGCAGTGGCTGTTGTGGTGGTGTGTTTGTTGATGTTGATGTTGTCGCCTCGGCTGTGTCTGGCCTTGCTCCTGGCCTTGAGCTGTGTGTGTGTGTGTGTTGGTGTGTGTTGGTGTGTGTTGGTGAAGTAGCCGTTTCCTTTGTACGCTGCAGCTGTGCTTCCACTTGTTTTCTTCCACACGATCTTTGTTGTGTGCTTCCCAGTTCGCGTGGTCATGAACAATGGCGGGTTGTTCGGTACACAGGCGCGTTTGTTCTTGATTGTTGCTCTGCTGCAGTGCCCGACCTCACCACCTCACCACCTCACCACCTCACCACCTCACGCACCACATTTATCACCGCTACCGCGTTCACTGCCCTGCAGACCTCAAACTCGCTTCACTTGCCGTCTCTTTTCCACGGCCTGGCCGATATGGTGAGTTGCGACTGCGTGTCGATGCTCTCATGTGTTTCGTGCTCACGCATGCAAATCATGTGCAAAATCCCCCTTTTCCCCCACCACCCATGCGTCGGCCATGCTTTCCCCCAAGCGACCTTGCACGTGTCACCGAGTAATTGTCTCAGTTCCAAAGGTTGTCGTCGTTTTGTTGCTTATCTTATTGTTGGGCGCTTGTTGCCTCTCCCCACGTTTTGGATCAGACTTTTGCTCGCTTCCTTGGCCTCGCGGCTCGCACCCGCGTCCAGACGCTCGCTGTTGTGCAAACCCGCACCTTCTTCAGCAGCGCTACAGTGTATGTTGTTCACCTGCGAAATGCGTGTTGGGGGATGCGTGTCACAAGATGTGCATGAGGGATTCGCGGGATACACCGTAATGCATGCATGCAATATCTTTGCCAAACACCGATCTCTGCTGTACACGCATGCCACACTGCGCGTCATCACATACACACACACACACACACACACACATACACACAAAATCGTGGGTTGGTGCAGGCTTGCGCACAAGTACCCGCGCCGTGTGAAGAGCAGCTTCTTCCTCTTCTCCGACGATGTTCGCGACGATGTTGTCAAGCAGAACCCTGGTTGGTCTTTGCGAACACGAGCTGGCGTGTGATGCCCTCCTGTCCCTTCCTATGCCACCCAATGTCCCGAGCGCCCCGTTTTGTTTGCTGAATGCTTGTTTCCATTGTTTGTCGTGTGCGGGTGGGCTGCGCTCACGGCGTTTTGTGGGCATCGCCGTGTTGGCGTGAAGTTGATTTCGCCTGTATTGCTCACCACTGTGCTGCCATCTCGTGTGACCGTGCGTTATATCAGACATGCCTGCACACCACGTGGTGACCGAGGTTGCCCGCCGCTTCAAGGAGCTCCCCGCGGAAGCACGCGCGGTAGGGTCGTGCGCCGCATGCGTGTTGATCACGCTGCCCTGACACTTGAACCAGCGCAACACGCACGCACGCGTCTCACGCTGTGTGTGTGTGTGTGTGTTTGTGTGTGTGTGTGTGTGTGTGTG